TGCCATAGATAGAAGGGCATACGTGGAATGCATTATTCATACTTAGAAGCATACGTTAGAATTGACTCACGCTAACGGAGGCAACGAAACCTTATGACTCTGGTAAAATATGGATGCTGAGTCAGATAACACGCTGCTGCAAGTGACTAACAGCGCAGTGTTATGCTGAGGCTAACTTATAAATCTTATAATAATAAACAAAAAAGCAACGCTCAGATATAATAAACACAAACGTTGAATGCCAAATAGAAGTATTTCAATGACATAAAATAAAACAGTACTCCCGTAGTATGTGTGCCAGGTTAGGGTAAGGCCTTAGTACTTAGTACTATTTTGTTAGAGTTAGGCCATTATTTTATTTCGTTTTTCCTTATTTTAGTTCTATTACGAGTTCAGAGACTGTCTGTGTAGGCCAGGTGAATATACCCCCCGCTCATAGGTTTCAGTTTTCCTTTACAAAACTTGATGTAAAGTAATGCGAATAAAATGAGATACCGCCATATTGGTACACAATACACATACTTCAGGATCGCCAATAGAGCAGCAGAATTTTAGACAAAAGATTGGGATCTTATTGGACAATAAAAGCAATAGCCATCTAGCGACATCTTCCAGCATCAAGTGGAAATTTGAAATTGTTTAGTCCATAAGTTACGAAAAAAAGGCGACGTTTCATAACAGCAACAATCAAGCAAAACGATTCTTGTGTTGAATATGGATCCAATTTTATCAGGCAATGAATGATTGTAGTAACAATAACATATTTCATGAAAAAATACCTGAATAAAGTCAAAATATCAAATATGAAGTCCAGACACAAAAAATGTTTTAGATAGCCCACTACGCAACAAATTATATACCTAGCAAAGATTAAAATACTCTGGTTATGTGAAAGTAAACCTTATAATTCTTACGAACTTAGAATCTGTCTATACCTGTGCCATCTTAATCACTAACTGCAGTCAAATCAATACCTGGAATTAATATCACAACTATTTCAGCCAAATTTAATTTTCCATGAAGTCTATATAAAGATAATGAGGTGATGTCCTGTAGCTTTAAATAGATGAAGTAATCAAGCCAATTGAAATCTTATGATGTCAATAAGCAATCAAAAAACTTGAAATATGCTGATTTGCGTTTGAAATGCTAACAAATTATTCCCCTACTCAAAAGTATGGGGGTTGGTAACCGACCCTACTAAACAAATTTCCAGTGATTTGAGTCATTCAAAAACAATCCAGCCTAGTTTTCACACATTCCACTCTTACTTGACCTTGAATTTATTTATTCTAATGTATAAGAACGTCTACAATTAGTTTATTCCGCGGATTATTTTTGCTAGGTATAAGGGGCAACAATATCTGAAACTTGCCAAGGGCAGCAGAAAAGTTTGACACGTCCCTGCATACAAGTGGATGAGATATCAGGTCCTGTAACTGCAAAGTGGCGACGAATGACTCTAATTATAATCAATCATATTAGACAAAGAACACATAAAAGTCACAAACAGCGAGTTGAAACTTGGGAATGCAGGACAGCGGAAATCAAAAATATTTTTTCAATAAATTCAGAAATTAAATGAGACAATATTTCAATCAAAACTGAACTATTTCTAAAGTAATATTCTAAATTATTAAAATCGAGAAATTAAAATGTCAGATATAATTAATAAAGAAGGTATTCTAATATCTTGGTCATCTCTGCTCTCGTGCAAACAAAACCCTTTCCATCGATTTACAAGCAACCTTGGGAATACTGAGAGCGCTAATAGACTGCTTCTACTTTGCCTCACACAACTATTGACGCCCGCAAAAGCACAACCACACAATATCTACGCGCTGTCAATCCAAGTCTCATATACAGGAAGTGACCTCATATCCTCTCGGCAACGTTTTGTGAGGTCAGATTTCAAAACATAACAACATGAAGGATTGTTGGAACGTATGGGGTATTGATATTTTATGAGACTTGCTCTGAACAAGGTATGGACAAGCATTCACTAGTAAGGAGCTACTATCTTCACATTTCCCTCTGAACAAGGCTCTAGACCAGGGGTGCACAACACGGGGCACGCGTGCCAAATTTGGCACACCATACGCTCAAACCTGGCACGCGAACGGTTTTGTAAAAAAAAGCTATTTATGATTTACATTAAAATACCACCTTTATATCAAAATCAGCAGTTTTTCAGAACATCAAATTGTTTCAATAAATAGATATTCGTTATTATGTATTATTATTGAAATTTATTTGTTTTACGGGAGGCAATTCACAATACCATCGTTTGTGCGTGGCACACGACAAGATTATTTTGAAAATTTTGGCACGTGTCCTCATTTGAGTTGTGCACCCCTGCTCTAGACATCATGCCACTGCTATGTAGGAAGCTGCAATGCCCACAACTTTTGAGAAATAAACCGCACCGAATATGAAATGAAATATCCAATTTTGAATGAATATTCCCTCTGCATAAGTCTTTGTACAAGAATTCAATGCTATGTAGGCAGCTACCATGCTCACAACTTTTGAGATATGTACGGTAGATAATCAATTTTGAACAAATTTGGAATATTCCATTCATTATTGACATCATTGTACCTTTCCTTAAAAGGTCACTGGGTTCATCCAACAACATTTTCACACTTGGAAGATATTCTAGCATGCAACAGATGCTTAGAAGCTAACAACAGTCCTGATCAATGGGAAGAGATAGAACTCTGACTGGCTTGCAACTGTGCCAAAGTATCCATAAAAGCTCTGATAACACAAAAACTGACCAAAACAGGAAATATCAAAGTCTGTATCGATTGGCTATGCTAGGTAGTAAACATCAACCCAATTTGAACCCTAACCTTAAGAGTTTAAAAAAAGAACAAACAATTATTCATAAAAAAAAATCATGCGGCAACTTATTCAGAAGTAAAGGGGATTCACCATTGAGCAAAGTTGCAGGACCACTGAAATGAAAATGACAAGTGCTACTGAAACTGTATATAATTATGGTTGTGCAATGCTCACTCGCTCAGAGGTAAAGGAGACTCATCTCTGAGAAAAGTTACGGGCACTCACTCAGAAGTGAAGGAGACTCATCTCTGAGTGAAGTTACAGACACTCACTCAGAAGTATAGAAGACTCATCTATGAGAAAATTTATGGGCACTCACTCAGAAGTAAAGGAGACTCATCTCTGAGAAAAGTTAAGGGCACTCACTCAGAAGTGAAGGAGACTCACCTCTGAAAAAGGTTACGGGCACTCACTCAGAAGTAAAGAAGACTCATCTCTGAGAAAAGCTATGAGCACTCACTCAAAAGTGAAGGAGACTCATCTCTGAGTGAAGTTACAGGCACTCACTCAGAAGTATAGAAGACTCATCTATGAGAAAATTTATGGGCACTCACTCAGAAGTAAAGGAGACTCATCTCTGAGAAAAGTTAAGGGCACTCACTCAGAAGTGAAGGAGACTCACCTCTGAAAAAGGTTACGGGCACTCACTCAGAAGTGAAGGAGACTCACCTCTGAAAAAGGTTAGGGGCACTCACTCAGAAGTAAAGAAGACTCATTTCTGAGAAAAGCTATGGGCACTCACTCAAAAGTGAAGGAGACTCATCTCTGAGAAAAGTTACAGGCACTCACTCAAAAGTTACGGACACTCACTTAGAAGTAAAGGAGACTCATCTCTGAGAAAAGTTACGGGCACTCACTGAAATACCAAAGGTTGCCAAAACTAGAGAATTATGCGGCACAATATACGAAAGTAAATGCCAATTGACACCAGATCCTGAAACATTTCAAATCAATCTGAATTTTTTTGCTAAATTTTTATTCCCGGATGTTTTATTATCTAATTATCAAATATGCTTAAGGTTTAGAACTTATGCTCAGGTTCAGCATAGCAGACAATTTAAATCATTTCGACCAATCGCATCCTTCTTATACCACATTCAAAATATCTTTATTACGTCACAGTATTGGCATGGCAGGTGTCTTCTTCCATCGTGACAGGCTTTACGTCATTAGCAAGATTTTCTATTCAAAGCCAAATCATGACGAATGCCAGAAATAAGTTTCTTGAAACTAGTAATCAATAACAATATATAGAGAACAATGGAGTTAATTTAAACTGATGTCATTTGCCGAGTTCCGAATTTTAGTAACTTTAGCAACTTTGCCATGTAAGGTAACCACAAACAAGCTTGGACCAATCTAAACAAAGACTTATACGATATACAATCAATACAGTGTCCTGTTCGAATCATGCAATTAGCGAGGAAGTTTAACGAACACTTTGGAAAAGATAAATTCATATTTTAACAAGACTGTGAATATTCATTAATCCCTGTGAATAATTATAATGTCTCTATCATATTGTTTCGTTCTTAATGATTGTGCGTGAATTGCTATGAATGAGACTTGTGGGAAACAACTCTCCATGAGGCGTTTTAAATACTCTTTCTCAAAAAGGCTCTGTACTAGCAGTCGGAAGATACTGACTAAGCTTGGGAAAATCTCAGCTTTTCTGACCTGCATTGTTTGCCAAACTGTTACACCAACTTTTCCTAACCAAGGAGAGAATTTGTCTCGAGGGGGAATTTTACTCTCTATTACCTATAATATTACTGATATTCTTTAATTCTTTACTTTTACTGAAACACATATTTATGCAAACATTATGAACTACTCGGACTGTTTAAAATGCACAACCTAAGTCATAACACTAGTTAAGGTTCCATTAAAGATTGAATAGAATAAGTACTTTCAATGCAGGGAGAAATAAAGAGTTCCAGACCAGGCAAAGGGAGAGGGATTACACAAGAAAGGTGGGGACTACTATGTCACACCTTGGATAATTAGTTCGTTGTGTAAATATAACAACCTTTCGTTTTTCTCCTGTAATTTTATATGCTATCGAAACTTATGGAAAATAAACCATGACTTTCTACATAAAGGTCATGATGGTTCGCTTTCCTGTAAAAAATAAGACAAATAGCAAATCCTACCTTGATTCTCTTCTTCAATGAGTGGCTCAACCTTTGACCCTGACACGGATGACCGCTCACTTGTTTTGATTGGTTGAGAATGGATCTCCTCTGATAAGCGTCGCAAAACCTATCATTAAAAGGATATACATGCAGTTCAGTAATGCATTTATAAGTCTTGGAAACTATCTGTTATCTTATTTTCTGTATTATTGGGGGTAGTGGGAGGACGCATAAATAGATGAGTATGCAAATTATGTTTTTGATCACAATACCCATTCACGAGGGAGCTAACATGACCAGTTCCAATACCCGTTTTCAACGGGTCGGTCACCGATTGTGAGGTTATGATTCTACATCTTATAGGCTTTACTCTCACTAGGCTAAATTCTGAAGCTACCCTAGAACCCAATTTATCCAAACAGATTTACCAACCTGAATTGCATCCTCTGGGTCATATTTTTTATCTCCCTCTGTGTCTTTCCCTTCAGTGATTGGTTGATTGTCCGAAGCTACATGAACTTCAGCGGCAACTTTTGGTTTAATTTGCTCATTCATGCATAAAGAAATAGTGTTTTGGTCATTGTTTTGTATAATTTGGTCATGCTTCAATAGTTTTTGGTCGTGCTTTGATGATTTTTGTACAGGTGAAATACTGTTATGCTCCTGTGACTTTAGGTTTTGCTTCATTAATTTTTGGTCTTGCTTCAATGATTTTTCTGTTGGTGGACTTTGGTCAAGCTCCAGTGACTTTTGGTCATGCTTCAATGGTTCAATATTAGAGGAGTTTTGGTTGAAATTGTGAAAGGTTTTCTCAGATTTCGGGGAGGAAACTTGAAATATGTCATTAAATTGTTTGAATGTAGGGCTTGTTTCTATGACAACAACACTTTGCTCTTCAAAGGAATGTGGCTCACCGCTGCCACCAGTGGAATGTTTTTTAGATTTTTTTCGTCGACTTCTTCCTTCTTTGGTTGCAGATGTTGTTTGGTCTGCTGGTATTTCTGGTAATTTTCGTCGTGTTTTGGTAACTGGAGTAACAATAGGCTCGGGGGATGGTGGAGGGCCATCTGAAAATAAATCAGTAAGTTTATTTATATTGCAAAGCTATATTCAAAGAAATAACAGACTTGAAGTCATTTCAAAACCCTACAGCCTGGCAAAAGATTTTGACTTCAGGTTGAAAGGAATTTTTAACTGCATGCATGTCCTCTATAATATTCTGCAAATGGTGCTCAGCCAATATAATACTTTTCAAATTCAGATGATAAAATTATATTGGATCATCACTGAAGTTAAGATCCATGCAAGACTAATCAATGTAGAGCAGTAGTACTCAAACGATCGACCGTACCCCAAAAGAGGGGCGTAGACAATTTTCTGAGGGGCTGTGAAGCTAACAAAAATCAAAAATATTTGTTAGATTTGATCTTGCCCACCCAATTTATGATATTTATATTCCTTTATTTTGGATATTTACGTTCCATCCACATATTTTAAATGTGTTTTTTAGAATTAAACCGACTTTCGCCTAGCTAGTTATTTTTGAGGTGCAGCTTGAGACATGACAAATTCTATAAATAGGGCACGGCTCAAATAGTTTGAGAACCACTGATGTAGTGAAAGAAGAAAGCCCAGCCTAACAAAAGATAGTAGTTCCAACTTGTACTAAGTCTTATTTGAAGTGAAAGTGTAAAAATGTCTGATGTTAATGTCTGAATGTCAATATGACGATATTCCCATCGTATGTGTACCACGGTACCAAGTTAGGGTTAGGCCATAATTTGATTCCAATTTTCCTTACTTTAGTTCTATTATGAGTTCAGAGACAGTCTGTATTAGCAAAGTGAATATACCCCTGCCCATAGGTTTCAGTCCTTTTACACAACTTGTACACATACTTCTGGAGAGCCAACACAACTGCATACATATATACAAAATGTTTACAAAAATCTAAGGAAGCAGGGTAAGAATTTTACAAATCAGAGAGGGTTAAATTAATCTGGATTACTTCCTTGAATAGTTCAAAGATCATGACCTTTCACCTACCTTCCAGGTTGAATATTGCAACAACATCTTCAACGGAGACTGGTCTTGGATCACCAGGTTGATACTCTGATTCGGGTAGATCTTCAGTGCCATCTTGTGGAGAAAGTAGTAGCTCTGCTTCTGTAATATCAAATGAAAGATAATTAGGGGAATCGAATGCTCCATACAGACCAGTGGGAGAATATACTGTTCCTCAAGGCAGGGTTTCCCAAACTGGGGTCCATTGACCACTGGGGTCAGTGATGACTGCACAGGGGGGTCTCAAGGCAGGGTTTCCCAAACTGGGGTCCCAGTGATGACTGTACAGGGGGTCTCAAGGCAGGGTTTCCCAAACTGGGGTCCCAGTGATGACTGTACAGGGGGTCTCAAGGCAGGGTTTCCCAAACTGGGGTCCCAGTGATGACTGTACAGGGGGTCTCAAGGCAGGGTTTCCCAAACTGGGGTCCCAGTGATGACTGTACAGGGGGTCTCAAGGCAGGGTTTCCCAAACTGGGGTCCATTGACCACTGGGGTCAGTGATGACTGCACAGGGGGTTTCAAGGCAGGGTTACCCAAACTGGGGTCCATTGACCCCTGGGGTCAGTGATGACTGTACAGGGGGTTTCAAGGCAGGGTTACCCAAACTGGGGTCCATTGACCACTAGGGTCAGTGATGACTGCACAGGGGGTCTCAAGGCAGGGTTTCCCAAACGGGGGTCCATTGACCACTGGGATCAGTGATGACTGCACAGGGGGTCTCAAGGCAGGGTTACCCAAACTGGGTCCATTGACCACTGGGGTCAGTGATGACTGCACAGGGGGTTTCAAGGCAGGGTTACCCAAACTGGGGTCCATTGACCACTGGGGTCAGTGATGACTGTACAGGGGGTCTCAAGGCAGGGTTTCCCAAACTGGGGTCCATTGACCCCTGGGGTCAGTGATGACTGTACAGGGGGTCTCAAGGCAGGGTTTCCCAAACTGGAGTCCATTGACCACTGGGGTCAGTGATGACTGTACAGGGGGTCTCAAGGCAGGGTTTTCCAAACTGGGGTCCATTGACCACTGGGGTCAGTGATGACTGCACAGGCGGTCTGTAGCAATATGAAGAGTCTAAAACATAGATTTTAACGTATATGCACTGTCACTTAGACATTCGTTAACGAGATAAAGTCGTCCCTGTTTAAACATATAAACAAATCATTCAATACCTTCTTCGCTGAGGACATGTTCCTTCACAACAACATTCATCTTCCCTTCTGCAGGGGTCATGACCTCTGTTACCATGGTTACTTCTAATTTATCGCCATCTAGTGGACTCTTGGTGACAGAGACTTTCCTTGATGGAGACTGATCATCTGTTAAGAAAGCGAAAAAGTTTTAATATTCAAGCCTGCTATAGTCCGTGTATATGGAACAATTAACTGGTTGACTATTCCCATATCCAACATGGACTGGTAACCTGATAAGAGGCCGTGGTTTTTTATTTGATCAAGTAGTCAAAAATGTATCAGATGTAATCTTAACTGGTAAATAATGGCTGGCATGACTTGTTAGCTGTATGAGAGGCTGGGGCAGTCGTTGGTTTATCAACTTTTTCATCTCCATGAAAAAAAAAAAACATGAAAATCCTACCCCTATGCAAGCTAGTATATACCTCAAACCTCCAAGATTAACCAATCAAGAAAAGGAAAAGGATCAGCAAAGAGGATTTTCCATGTTATCCCCAAGAAGAGGAAAGTTGACCAAATAGACCATATGCAGGGGCATAGCCTTAAATTTTCAAAGGGGGAGAGGGTTCTGAAATTTCTATTTACCAAGTTAGACCTTATTAGCTGGCAGACCCAGGAAATGTGGGGTTCCAATAGTCTTGCGGGTTTAAAAAGTGTTTCAAGCTCCAAAAAAATGCTATGAATGATAGAAAAATTGCTTTTTTATACATTGTCAACTATTATACAACTAATTATTTATTGTCAACTATTATTCGTGCTAATTACAACAAACATCTCAACTCACCAACTGAGGGAGTTCTTTGTAATTCCTTCGATTTTGATTTGTTCGGAGTTTTTCGATTGAAATCATTTGAGAACGAACGACTTTTGCTAAAAACGAATCAAAAGCACAAATTTAAAATGTTTGTCCTGGTATTGAAAAAAAGCATTCACTTGATTTTTAAAACTACGGTAATAAAAAATCTTGAGTAATAGCCTAGGGCAGCGGTTCCCAACCAGGGGCCCCACAGAGCAGTTAGACATGGGCCACAATGCTCAGCGCAAAACTGATTTTACTTTCTCCCCCCCCCCCCCCCCCCCATTCTTCCTAGTTTCATGGCATTTCACAGAGCATGTTGAACATTGTAACATAATGAAATTTAGAATCTACCAATTAAAATAACCCTATAAATACCACTGGAATGATAAACAGAGTGACAATGAATGCCATAAAAGATTCGAAACCAATCGTCCTAGCGATTAAAATATTGGTGTGAAATGGACAGGCAGTGCAGAGCTGGGAATTTTCCAGTCATTTTTAAATTAATTCCCTGCATATCGTTAACTATCAGTGTTTACTTGTACAGGGTTGTATTTGGAGGAAGAGACGTAAAAAGCATCGTATAAAAAAATTGCTGTTTTTCTTATTTCCGAAACAAATTTATTGAATTCACACAAACTGTTGAACATGGCCCAACTAGAACAATATCCGATAATATAAAAATTCATTCCAGATTTCACGTCAGTTTTGAATTTCACCGAGTCTAATCTAAAGATTTGATCTTGCTCCGGTGTATTTTGGATATTTACATTTATTGTTTAGAAATAGCGGTTGTGCTTGTATCTTTATTATCTTCAGCGATTTCATTATTTATATTCGATTCACGTATTTTTAACGTGTTTTTTGAATAAGAGAGCTTATTGTTAGCTAGTTTTTTTTTAAGTGGGGCGCGAGACCTAACAAATTTTAAGAAGGGGGCTTGAAAAGTTTGTAAACCAATGGTGTAAAGCCATCTTCGAATCAACTCACCAAGCCGGACTGGAAGGTTTGGTGGGTGAAGGTGTGACCCCGCCCCCAGATGTTTGAGAAGTACTTCGGATCCTGTTCTTGTGTCTTTCTAATGCTTGTTGAGCCCTGGGTGGAGAAGAAGTTCAAGTAAAAGGAAACTACATGGACTCCCATGGGTACAGGTACTCAATGTATATAATAAAAGCTTCCAACCTGTGAGGCAGTAATTACTTCAGAAGCGTGGACTTGAATTACATAATACTCAAAACAAAATATTCCATATTTATCTTGTAATAGGCAAGCTTTATTTCAGTAATCGGTATTCACCCATAAACCAGTAACACAGAAGTCGGCAAATTGTGGGTTGTTTTAAATTTTCAACAAAAACGTTCGGCCTTGAACCCTTTTCCATTTCACTATTTATCCCACGATTAAAAAACTTTGCCAACCACTGACATTGAGTCTATGTAGCCAATCTATCCAGGCCAAGCAGTGAAAGAAATACTCAATATTGAGAAGTCGGAGCTAAATCAAAAATATTTCGGTCCTAATTATAGTAGCTAGTTCTGTAGTCAGTGACTGGTCATGCTGAGAATTGTTCAGAGTGGAAGTCATTGCATATATAAAGAAATTTCAAACATATCTAACCTGGACAATCCCTTGGTGGACGTTGTGCTTGATCCAGAGTCTGAGAGAGAAGTCTTGCTTGAACTTGCAGAAGAACGACGAGATAGAACTGGATAGAATAAAGAGAGAAGTGTTAGATCGATATAGGAATGCGCTGCCTACACAGCCAGCCCTGTGAGCATGTTTTATCGGTTTCACATGATGGAATTCATGTTTTCTTTGTCAATAATGAAAAATGGAGTGAAAGATTGATGGGATTTATGTATTCATCCTGGGAGAGAGAAAAGCCTATAAGGGGGCTTAATGATATGATGAAACACAGTCTCTCGTTCGGTTACCAGTCCATATTGAATGGATATTGGACTATTTAGCCAGGTATTTTGCTACGGGTGCATGGATTTGACGGTGGAGGAAGCCATAACCAACTAGCGAGATCCACCCTACGACTAGGGCTGTCCAAGCGAACTGAATATTCGAAATCGAATCAAATCGCAATTTATTCGAATCGTTTTCCGGCTAATTTTCGAATCGCTAAAATTAGGTACCGGTACATAAAGCAGAAACCATCTTCACAGGATGTTTTTCATCGGGCAAGCGGCACTCCGAGCTCAGACCACTCTCGCTCATGGCTTAATTGGTTTCCCGATATTTCTTTCGCCTTCATTTTGTGACAAACATGTCATTACTACTGCCCGCCCGGTGGCACGTGATTAGCCATTTCATGCATGGTCATCATAAGTTATAATCGGTCATGACGTTTTTGAGAGAGAACAAGGAGAAAAAGGAGACAATTTAGAAAACGATAGTTCTATAGATAGAATTTAGAATAGTTAGGTATCATAGGAACATGGTACAGACAACTTAAAGCTGAAAACAGGTGTTTTGGGATCCTTATGATGGCAATACCTTATTTAAATGGGATTTGTAATTTCTCATGATGGCATTACTGTATTATCCATCTATATACCAAGACAAATAATTGCACTCTTGCATTTTGATGGCTGTTGTACACTAACAATATTATTGTCATCAAACTAGCTTGGAATTTGTTAAGTGCAATTTTGAACTTGAGCAACAGTTTTATCTGTATTGATGGTTGTCATTATTTTGCTGGAATTTACACAAAAAAACATAAGACTAGTGAATAGGATTAAAATAGCATCTACAGGCTTTACATGTCCTATTAAAACTGAATCCATCAAAATTGAGATTGCAATTTTTGAATAGTGCAATTTTTAATCTTAACACTCAAAAGTTTTCGACCCAAATTTCGAAGTTCTCCAATTTTTTTGACTAGTTCATACAAGCGTGTGATCTCCTTTCATAAATCTGAAAACATTGTATTGCAAAATACCAGCAGTAAGTAAGATGTAACTGCACCTATGTTACCACAACTTCGAAGGGCAGGCGTTTATTGTATAATAGAGAAAGATTCAATATTGCGCAATAATATTCGATTATTCGGTTCGATTCGGCGAAAATATTCGATTCGAATCAAAAAATTATTCGATTTTGGACAGCCCTACCTACGACTTTCATATTCACCACAAATTCTGACTGAAAATAAATAGTTTTAGATGTGAGTACATGGGTGCCGGACGTGTTATATCAATGTCAGGGAGAAATTACCACTTCATCAGCTTTCCTCTCCCCCAGTTTATTCTTTATATATAATCCTTCCAATTTTCTCATATCAAAGCCACTTACCCTTTTCTTTATTCTCATCTGATCGTGGTCTGCCAGGCGATGCCGGTTTCCTAAAAATGGAACCAAAAATATGTGAGAGGATTGGAAGAAAATTTATTCTTTTGAAGCTTAAAGACATAGAAGAAGGATAAGTAGTTGGTACTGCAGAAACCAAAATCAAAATGAGTGAATCTAGCGAATCTCCAAACAAATGGATTCGCTACTTCCTTTAATTTGAGAATTCTTCATGTATCCCCTCATTTCCAGATTTTCAATTAAGGATTGCAACAACATTTTTCTTAAACTAGGAATCATTTTTCCATATACACCTAATTAAAGTTTTTTTTATTGCCTTCAATTCAGGGATAACTTTCTTATATCGAATCCCAGAATTGAGTTGATAAAGAACAAAGTTCCTCACTCTTTCAACGTAGATTGCTTCTCAAGTTTTGCAATACTATCAAGAACTCTCTCCCTCCTCAGTGAACGTCGCATGAGTATTGATGGATCGTTCACAGCCGGTGTGCTCCGAGAAGGTCTGTTGATTTGAGAGATGCACAAGTTAGGAGGGGTCTTGCATAATATCCAGAGAAAAAAATGTCGATAAGACGGCATAATCATAGGATGAGAGTTTCATATTTATCCTGGGAGAGGAAAGGCAATTGCCACCACACCTCTGACAACTCTGCATTGGTCCTTCCCATTTTTGTGGAGAGTAGGTATATACAAAAAGAAAACTGACTCTTTACTGTCATAGGGTGGTTTGCGAAAGCATTGGTCAGTTGCGGCTTCCTCCACCTTTGAGTTCATGCATCTGGAACAAATGGATGGCTTACTAATCCCATACCCGACATGGACTGCTAACGAGAGACCGTGGTTAGTCATATCATCAAAGGCTGCCTTATTGGCTTACCTCTCCCGGGGCAATAAATATTAATCCAATCTTATTTGAATAGGAACTTGATAAATAAGGATTGGCCAAGGTTTTTGAACTAAGGGCCAAAAATGTTGCCCACCTAGATTGGCGGGCCATTTGAGTGTGACGTTAAAAGTTACATTGTATGAATGATATTTACAGTGTTACAAAACCAAAACTGGAAAACAATATGTGGCAAAACTAAATTTATCGTAATCTCAACAAATTCCTTGATCTATTTTTTAGCCAAAACATCAAAATTTGGTTTTAGTTTTGTTATGGCAGCATCAGGCGGGCCAAATTGAATTACCCCTGGCTGGATTTGGCCTGCGGGCCGTAGTTTGAACAAAGTAGTCTACAATCACATAAACAGCTTTCATGTGAAAAGGCATTTTATACTAGTTGAACCCTAGAAATACACTGCTAATGTCATTATTTATAATTTGGATTTATAAATAAAATCTCATTCATATTTCCATACCAAACATGAGTTTCCTTTGTGTGGAACAAATTAACAAACCCTAAAAGTCAAACACCTGACATTGAAAGCCGTAAATGTTTAATGAGATTAATATTTGATGGTGCGTGAAATAGGGCGTGGCATCAACTTATTGCTTTGTACTTTTGTTGGAGAATGACAGAGCCATTCAAGGTAGAAATACAATATATTGAAAATTATACAGTTCAGACTTAATGAAGTGCAAACATGGCTTTGTCACTGGAATACACTTGGACACATGATCAAGGTACTCCCGTAGTGTGTGTACCAGGTTAGGGTTAGGACATAATTTTATTTTAGTTCTTAGTTTTTTTTCCCTATTTTAGTTTTATTACGAGTTCAGGGATTGTCTGTGTTAGCCAAGTGAATATACCCCTGGCCCATAGGTTTCAGTCTCCTTACACATCTTGATGTAAAATAGGCGAATAAAATTAGTTATCTCCATATTGGTACACACACTCATGAAGCGCCATGATTAAACCGAAGAAATATTGAGGATAAATCAGAGAAAGCCAATAGCTTATTGTGCGAATCTAACGTCATGAAGAAACTATGATGGCATTGCATGTTACACATTTCGAGTTCAGACCCATGCACACCACCCCCATGAATATATTAGCAGAAACAGACAAGTTATAAAAGGATATCAATATTATATTTATTCATTTATATGTTATATTTCGTACCTGTGAGATCTTCTGAACGCAGATGAATCATTAGCCGATGACTGATTGACTGAGCTGAAAGATAAGAAAATTTATGTTTAACTGCCATAGAAATGATAACACACAAGAAAAATACACGAGGCCGAGATTCATTGAAGTTGCAAAACAGGGAACTTGGAGGGTCCTTTTTCCATTTATCACTATAGGACAGCTTCACGCCTATTTCGAAATTGCAGGCTGGAAAAATTCTGATTCAAACCCCATACCTAAATTAATTCAAATGATCAATGAAACCTTATACCGAATAAAGTGTAACTTGCCAGTTAAGGGGCATTTATTACTTCACAGTATAATTTAGAATCGCTTGCTTCTCACCTGTATGACCTCACAAAGGGTGTTTTTTTGTTGTCTTCATTATCTTGATTCCGGTTCTCAAATTTCGACAAATTATCCATGAATTTACTCCCAAGTTTCTGTCGAGCAGTTTTGGCTTCTGGTTTTGTCACTGTTTAAAAAAAAAATGAATCACTGAGAATTGAAAAATATGAATATTGGGTATAATTAAGACTAAGCAATTCTTCAAACTCTCACCATCGGAAAAAGAGTTGCTTGAAAATTTTGCAACTCCAATGTCCTTGTGTATTACCTGTTTTTTATATAAAATAATTTGCTTATAAACTGAAGCAATGCCAAAGGCACTCACTCAAAACTAAAGAAACTCATCTCTGAGCAACGTCACGGGCACTTACGCAGAAGTAAAGGAGACTCATCTCAGAGCAAAGTTACGCGCACTCACTCAGAAGCAAAGAAACTCATCTCTGAGAAACATTACAGGCACTCACTCAAATATAAAAGAAACTCATCTCTGAGCAAAGTTACGGGCACTCACTCAGAAGTGAAGGAGACTCATCTCCGAGAAAAGTTACGGACACTCACTTAGAAGTAAAGGAGACTCATCTCAGAGCAAAGTTACGCGCACACACTCAGAAGCAAAGAAACTCATCTCTGAGAAACATTACAGGCACTCACTCAAATATAAAAGAAACTCATCTCTGAGCAAAGTTACGAACACTCACTCAGGATTAAAAGAAGACTCATCTCTGAGCAACGTTACGGGCACTTACGCAGCAGTAAAGGAGACTCATCTCAGAGCAAAGTTACGCGCACTCGCTCAGAAGCAAAGAAACTCATCTCTGAGAAACATTACAGGCACTCACTCAAATATAAAAGAAACTCATCTCTGAGCAAAATTACGAACACTCACTCAGAATTAAAAGAAGACTCATCTCTGAGAAACGTTACGGGCACTCAATCAAATTTAAAAAAATTCATTTCTTAGCAATGTTACTGGCACTCACTCAAATATAAAAGAAACTCAACTCTGAGCAAAGTTACTGGCACTCACTCAGAATTAAAAGATATTCATCTCTGAGATACATACGGACACTCACTCAAATATAAAAGAAACTCATCTCTGAGCAATGTTACTGGCACTCACTCATAATTAAAAGAGATTCATCTCTGAGAAACGTTACGGGCACTCACTCAAATATAAAAGAAACTCATCTCTGAGCAAAGTTACGAACACTCACTCAGAATTAAAAGAAGACTCATCTCTGAGAAACGTTATGGGCCTCAATCAAATATAAAAAAACTCATTTCTTAGCAATGTTACTGGCACTCACTCAGAATTAAAAAATATTCATCTCTGAGAAACGTTACATGCACTTACTCAAAAGTTAGGCGCACTCAGAAATAAAGAAATGCACTCAAAAGTAAAGGAAACTCATTTCTGAAAAACGTATTCACTAAAATTCACTACTGAAACTACATAGAAGTATGGAAGTGCATTATATACGCTCATTCAGAGTCAAGATATGGACGACCACAGGAAATCCAAATTCACCCTGGATTAGCAAAACCCAAGTTAGTACGATATGCCAACAGCAGAGACAAATACATGAACAAAGTAAAAACCTATCCCACCTTCATTTTGTTTCTTCCCTTTATTCTCTTTCTCGGTTGTTTCAAATTTCGGAGTTTTCTCAATAATATTCACTTTATCATATGAATTTACACGTTTTGCTCCACTAGGTGGCTTCTTGTGCACACTCGCTCCGCCGTTAGAAGCTAGAATCGGAGACACCAAATAATATCATGAATAATAATAATTTCTTGATCAAATTCCAAAAAAGCATGGGAATTGAATTTTATAAAACAGATTAGTTGGGAATAAACTTTGCTGACACAACTTTTAATTTTCACAGAAGTTGATCAATTTTGAAAGTATTCGTTTTTCGATATCACTGGTTTATCAGATTACACTGTTAGTGAAGATTATTTATTAAATCAAATTAATATTTAACACCATTACCAGAAGTTCGCTATAAAAATGTGAATCAAAAGATTATTGAAGAACAAATTTTATTTGGCAACTATGATTTCTATTCCAAGTAAATTATCAACTTAACTCCAGCTTGCTTATACCGTCACAGCCAGAAGTGTGTGCACCAATATTGAGGTAACTGATTTTGTTCGCCTATTTACATCAAGTTGTGTAAAGAGACTGAAACCTATCGACAGGGGGTATATATACTTGGCTAACACATACAGTCCCCGAACTTGTAATGGAACTTGAATAAGGAAAATCAGAATAAAATTATGGCCTAACCTGGTACACATACTTCGGGAGTACCCAGTTATCAAACTAATGGACAGTTTGTTAATGGCTTGTGTTCAGTTTAGTGATAGTTCAGTGATTTGGTTTATCTCAAACCAGACCAGGTTTAGATTGGATGGTAGAACAGTAACCCAACCTAATCAAATAATTAAAGGTGAGGCAGAAAGACAGTAGAGTGAACTCCCTTTATCTATAAAACAAAAATACAATCCAGCATTGATAAAAACCTGTTTTGTTTTTCTTCTCTAAATCCTTCCCAGGAGTTTTCTCTTTTTTCTTTTCTGATGTTGGTTGCTTTGTTGAGGATTCCTGACCATTTCTATGAAAACAAGAGAATTATTGAGACCGCTGGCTCGCCTTCAATCTGCTGGTCAGTCTGAAAGGCTTGCAATGCTTAATTATATGCAATGCAAGAGGATTGCTGGACAACTGGTGCAAAACCGCTGGTTAATGACGACTTTCCCCACCATCCAAGGACATGGTAACAATTAACTGACAAATTCTCCTTTTACAAAAGAACCCATAGGATTAATCTCGACTAATTGACATTACTCTTCGCTGAGATCAATATGAAATTTAGAAATAAAAAAATGTAGTTTCTTATCTATTAGCCAGTGATCAGTCGGTGAGTCTTGTTTGAAGCGAAAGTTTGTAAATATGTACGCCACATAAAAAAGCCAGTTCAGATGAAATAATTTGAATATAAAGCATTTATGATTCATTATATTCACTGGTCAGAATGAACAACTACCAGAAGTGTTTCAAGACCAACAACTTAACAATCATTGGAGCTTACTTTTAATGTGATTCTTGCTGCAAACTAGCAAGAATATATTTTTGTAATGTTTTGTCTGACTAACATCCAACTTTCTCAGACATGATTGTTAAATTATGAAGTTGCAATTTCGTCAGACGAAACTGACAGAAATATATTTGTGTAAGTAAGGTCACACAAACTCACTCAGAAGATTGGGATCTACACAGTCAGGCTTCAACTAAAAAATACTGTTGTGCAGCAATATTCTTGAATCACTTGGAAATGTTAACCTCATTTCTGCTACAGTATTTATGAATTATGTGCATACAGATACACCAGCGCAAAGACATACAGGGAGAATAAATACCGATAGCTATTACCCCAGAAACCCAATTGATTCCATAAGTAAATGAAAACGTTTCGTCCCACCTTCGACGCTTTCGTTCCTCTCTTTCAACTCTTCTCTGTTCTCGAGGAGTCAGAGTGACAGCTACTCCTTCAACTGATGACATGGCTGGGATATTTCCAGAGTTTGGATTTGTTGGTCAAAACGAATTTAGAATTAATGAAGGTTTCTATGAGACAATGACATAAATATTGATAAAATGATATTTTTAAAATTAAGCGATATAATATTTATGAGGTAGTGAAGACCACAAGAACTAACTGAAGCTCTTGGATAAAAGGTTGGCATAACTTAATAGCTGGAAACTTTTCTAGGAGGCTAGTTCTAAAAAATACATTTCATTATACCAACTCAACATTTCACAAATGGGAAAGAGTCTGCAGTTCAGATGCCAATAATGTTTGATATCCTTTCATTTAATCATTTAAAAGAGAGTACGCTTCATGCAGATAAACACTAGTAAACTATAATGGGACATTTCGCCAATATCTCATAATCAAAGTTGTTTTTGTCTTGGCATCTTAGCCATGTACATTGTGTGTCTAATTTGATTAAAAATAAATTTCGATCAATAGATATACAGGTAAACTGACACCGAGCAGAACCAGCACTTGAAAAGTAAAACCTTCATTGTAACCTGACACCTCATATTTTTGTCTTTAACTCGGGCATATCAGCCATTATTCTAAGTCCTGTATAGGCTGATTTCCTCCTTTCTGCCCTCATACAGTCATGCTCTCTGTGTCTGTGCGTTTATAATGTTTTTCACACACATCCATTTGCAATGTTTCTTTGGTTGACAGGTTGAGTTGACACAACCTCTCATTATCGTAACCTAATGTCTGAAGATATTGGCCGGCCAATAACAGGTTACTAGCAATATTCAATATGCATACACCTAATTTTATTCGCTACACTTGCTCGTTATCTTGAAAGCGCAGAGCATACAAATTCATATTCCCTTAGAAACCACACCGGAAATGCAATTCGTCGCTAACAACGACGGTGGTGACGTTAAAGGTCACGTATGACCAATGACCCTTATCGGTATCAAACGTGGATTTACTTCCATAGGGCTTTCTGATTCATCACCGTAGAGAGGGAAGCCGATAAGACGACCCAGTCGTATGGCGAATAGCGGCCTTTCGCCCGGTTATCAGTTCACGCGAGTATGGATTAGTTGGCCAATTATTTGTTTCAGACGCATGAAATTTGCTTCATATTTACCCCGTGAAGGGCTGCTCAATCATATAAAAATTATTTTCAGTCTGGCGCACATAATCCTGGTAATTGAAAGAGTCATAACTTATAATATTAATAATAATAATATGGCGAACTACGGCCTCTCGTATGCTAAGTTAAACGTCAATTGCTCTTACTGTATCTAACCCTGCGGTAAAACAGTTATTACGAAAAAAATGTGAAGCAAAGGTCGACGTCCAAATCGTGAGAACAGCGCTAAGAACATTCACAATCTGAACGCCACAATGAGCAGTAATTTCCCTCAGGAAATAATCCAATGTAAATTGCCCAATGTGACCACATACCAACACAATCGAATATTCGTATCCACGTATGGACATGTACTTGCCTGGTACGCAGCACAACTAACCAGCATAACCAGAAGGCTGATGTTCACTACATCATTAAATCGAATTATCGGTTTATTCTCCCCGGAATATATATAATATTCCTATCCTTATGTGTCTCACCTGCGGCGTACACTTACCGACTATTATACGCATATCCAAAATAGTCGTTTCATACTATCTCTCTAGCTTCGTTCACTCGTATTTACTTTACTTATCACAGACGCTGTGCGACTCAACCCACAAGGAATGGATGTAAACATACTTATCTGAGTAAATATTGTTTTAGATTTCTTTTGAACAAGTACTGTTAGAAATGTGCAGGAGATTAACTGGCATAATCCTGCTATTGTGTGTGTGATAGTAAGCCAGTGCCCTCACTGTATGAGAGGCACAATCTTATATGATTTATTTTGAACTCTGTATAAACTAATTACAGCACACAAGATAAACACACTGGAAGAAAATTGCCGAAACTTCCGGTTTAAATACGAGACATAAAACTATCATGAGGCAATCTCACTTTGTGGGATCTCTTCCCAGCGGTCATATTGACAGTAACAATATGGCTACTGTGCATTTTCTATTCTCACAGCGCTTTGATATTACGCACGCTGATTACTTGTCTTCGTTAGCATGTAAGTTCATCGGCAAAACCAGAAAATTTGCTTCAATATTTCTCTTCTACTCTTCGAGTATTTAAAACATTAACCCTGCTAATTACCGAGACGAGTATTTCAAAGCTTATATAACAGGAAACCTTCGCTATTTAAAATAATTTTAACACCTGGGCGACAAAAGGCAATCTTGCAACCTTGCGGAACTTGATGGGATTTTTATAGCGAATTGTTTCGACAATTTCTCATCATCAGCTCAGATGCACCGAATAGCTTTATGAAATATTTCACACCTCGGGAAATACAAATCAATGTGGTATGGTATACAAGCCTATGCACCTGAATCGCTATACTAACTACTCTCATTTCGTATAATTGGGTCATGTTGCCTTTCCGCTCCCACAGTATAAACTTGAAATCTTATTATGACATCCTTGCTGTGAACTATCTCGGCACAATGACGCTTAGCCGACGTTGACAATTACAGTATAAGTTGAGTCCATGCTACAGAACCCAGCACCAGACATACGCTGGCTGATGAGACACAGTGCTGGTTCATCTTATAGTTGGGCACCTCCATCGGTATTCTATCATATCATCAAGTTGCCCTGTCGACTTTCCTCTTACTCAAAATAGATATAAAAATCCTAATCCAAACTTATAGCAGTGTATGAAACTCTGTACTATATCGTTCTATGACTGGAAAGCAAACAAGCCAATCCCATCAATAAACATAGAACATCACGAGAGCAAACACGTTTTCACGGAATATTTTAACGATGTCAGATATTTGCTTGATTCATTTCGGTTTTAACACTTATGTTCATTATGGGCATGTCTGCCGCTTTTTTATGCATTCAACTCCGACCAAGGCTATCTTAAAACCCAAGTTAGTACACCCAAGGTAAGGAGGTGGTTGTGGGATTCGATGTATTTAACCTACGTTGCCCCAATTTTTTTTTGTAATCTCATCAAATTCCTTGAGCTATTTTTTAGCTAAAACATCAAAACTTGGTTTTAGTTTGGTTTAGACAGCATCAGGAGGACCAGACTAAATTACTCAACGGGCCGGATTCGTTGCCTACGTTGCCCCAAATTTTTTTTGTAATCTCATCAAATTCCTTGAGCCATTTTTTAGCTAAAACATCAAAACTTGGTTTTAGTTTGGTTTAGACAGCATCAGGAGGACCAGACTAAATTACTCAACGGGCCGGATTCGACCCGCCGACCGCAGTTTGCCCACGTAATGCATAGACCCCATACCCCATACCCACGAAGCGTCATCGAACTGACAATCTTTTATGAATAGCGCCTTTCTGATTCGGCATTGTCTACGCAATTTCTTACGCACTGGATGGGCATTACCCACGCAATTTCTCACGCACTGGATGATGAGGTGGCTTCGATATAGTTATATCAAACAGCTATAAACTTAAACTGAGTCCTATGGAACAGATACTCATTCCGCATTCAAAGCTGGGCGAGAAGTTTCTAAAACAACTTACTGACGTCACGGCCTTTATCCTCAAAGTTATGAAAACACTGTGACACAACAATAGCAATTCGATTAAGCATGACGTAAGTAAACAAAAGTTTTCAAAAGATTTTGTTTATACTTGACTTGATTAATTGGTCTTAGTAAAAGATTTCGACGAGAACTCGATTTTGTTTGAAGCGGCGGCTCAGTGGTTGATGAACTTCTAGCTACGTTGATATCGCAGGTCGTAAAACTCGGGGTACAAATCCCCATACCCACCACCTTACCCAGGGCAGTGATTTCCTTACACCTCCCTGAGATTTCAAACACCCCCCTACCCCCTAATATGACAACACATTTCAATTCTTAACGTAAACAAAAAAAATGTTTCTTATTATTCAGAAAGTGGCTCATGTGCCGCATAACACATATTTAAAAGTTACAAATATAGTTTTATCACTAATAACAAAATATCTACCACTGCCTAAATTTGGAAACGACCCATAAAATAAAAAGCTGGGGTACACACTGACCCAGGGTATAAGGAGAATCGGATAGGCAACGCCGAGTCAGAATTATTAACGCCTATTTAAAAATAATAGACCATTGTGAATCTGCCAATGCTCGCACCTGATCTTGTTTAAATTGAAGACGCGAAAACGTTTATAGAACATAAAAATACGATGTTATCGGGGTGCCTAACTCTTGACTAAGCGACTATTTACGTTAAAGTTATGTCACCGGCTGAAACTCAAACCATTTATTCCAATCCAAAATCTCTTCTTTCGTCTTATCGGGTGACATTGATACGCGAGGTTTGCGTAAATGCTTGTAATGACATCTTACCTTCAACATGTCAAAATCTAATTTGATCCCATAGTGTGTGTACCAGGTTAGGGTAACACAGCTTTATGTAAAGTGGGCGAACAAAATTAGTTATCTCCATATTGGCACACATACTTTTTCTGGAGCGTCATTCCTCAAACCAAGGCTCTAGAAAAGCAGACGCTGATGTGCAAAGAACTACTTTTAGCGCTATTTTCTGTTTTGCTTCAGTTAATCTTAGGTAAGTTTATTGTCCAACTTTCTTACGCTACCTAACTTACAAAGAAAAATCAGTGTGCAGAGAATAATAGAATAGTACTTTGTGTAAAGCTATTGAGAATCATGCCCTAATATAATATCCGATCTGTAATGATTGTAATCCTATAGTATCGATGTATCAATTTATTGCGCTCATTGCCCGAGGGCGCGTGAAGTAGAGGCCACTAGACGATAAAGAGATAGGAAATGTCTGATGAAACACACACGACCCATACATGATGTGTTAGTATCAGAAGGAGCGGCCTTGGATTCTGCAACAAACTTTACGGCCGCAGTTGATCCCACACTTATTTCGTTGCTTGAAGGTGTGCAATATTGAGTTTAACCATCATAACCATATATAGGTAGCGTGTTTTTCTGTATATACAAGATGAGTAAAGTTACTTTGTCCATGAT